CGTGCTTCGTCGGATTGGACAGTGACCTCACGGTTGACCAAAGCTTACTCACACCAGAGGTGAAGTTGCAGGTCTTCAGATGCTCTTCCCACTTCTTCCGCTTATGTACGTTTATTGGTTGCCGAATCTCTGCTCAGCCAAGTCAGTTTCCCTACGATCGTTTGATAGGCTTGAGTGCCAAGGGTCGTGGTGCGCATTAAAGTCGCCTACTACCAAAGGGTTTTCGCCTCTGAGGAGCGCACCTATGTCAGGGTGATATCCTGCCGGGCAGCAGGTGACAGGGAGTATATAAACATTAAATATTTCGAGCTCAACATCNTCGGTGCTCCGCGGAAGCAAAGTCGGTTGGTTTATCGATCGAGTGGGCTGATACCAAAGTCAGCATAGGTCGCCATGATATGCTGTTTATCAGACCAGCGCTGACTATTGTTATGTCTGGCGAGCTGCAGCAGCTGCCCATAATCCTGGTGGGTGCGTCGTTGTTCATTGTGCAGAATGTCGAATCATCTATCTGCTCAGCCAAGTCAGTTTCCCTACGATCGTTTGATAGGCTTGAGTGCCAAGGGTCGTGGTGCGCATTAAAGTCGCCTACTACCAAAGGGTTTTCGCCTCTGAGGAGCGCACCTATGTCAGGGTGATATCCTGCCGGGCAGCAGGTGACAGGGAGTATATAAACATTAAATATTTCGAGCTCAACATCGCCTGACCGGATAGCAATGCCCTGACATTCTAGGGTGGTATCCCTGCGGTCGATGTCTGCTTCGATAAGACGATACTGCACGGTGTGGTGCGTAATGAACGCTAAGCCACCGCCATTATTCCGCTCGCGATCTTGACGGTGCACGTTGTACCCGGCACAATTCAACAGTGTTGCACTGCGGTGCAACTTCGTCTCTTGGACCGCAGCTATCAATATGTCATGCCTTCCCATGAAGACGGTTATCTCCTCGATCTTGCTCTGAAGCCCATTACAGTTAAATTGAAGGAGCTTCATGTGGTTCGGGAGACGTGTGGTGATGCGGGGTGTGAGGGATGTGTGTGGTCGTGCCGCAGTTGGCTGTGTGCGCTGCTGAGGTGGTTGCCTCCCTGTGGTGGTGGCGGGAGGCGTCGCAGTTGAGGTCTGCGACCGAGCAACGCAACACGGGCCCTCGAAGTTCCTCGTACAATCTCGCGTGGTGCGCAGACCTGAGCATGCCCTAAAGTGGCACCAGCCAAGGCAGGTGTTGCTCTTGACCGATGTCACATTACGGAATATCCTGGTCTGACATACCGTGCAGATTGTAGGAGGAACTAGGAGTTGGTGGCGGCGGCGTGTGGGTGGTGGTGCGGTTGTTGTGTCTGTTGTATGGTCTGTCGTGGTCTATTGTGTTAAGTTGTTGTGCTGTGGGGTTTGTGTGGGAGTGCTCAGGTGGACTGGGGTTAGCCGTGGAGGCCGCTCTGTTAGAGCAACAGGGGGCCACAAAAGATGTGGTCCACTGCCGATGTGTCCGGAGTCCTGAGCAGACTCTGAGGTGACTCCACCCCTCGCAAGCATTGCACTTGACAGAGGTGGAGTTGTGGTGTAGTCGTCTCTGGCATACACAGCAGGTGTAGGTTTCTGGCCCTGGGTGTGACTCGATGCCAGCCCTGAGTAGGAGAAATCCTAACGAATGTAGCCCTATGGACGAACAACTTCTGAGATACTTCGCCGACCTAATCGGGGTTAGATCGCCGAAACAACAGCCCTTGGTCGGGTAAAACCCGAGTCATTCCGGTACGTAGAACCGGCTGTCGTGGGAATGTCATCTGCTAATATTATGATTTGGTGGTCATTTGCCGCTTTAATTAACCTAAGGAAAGTGTTGTTTCCGTGAAGAAGTTCTTGAAATTCTCCAACTGTGCAGCATTTCATAGCACGGTTATTCGCAAAACGAAATAAATTTGAAAAATTTGTTCCTCTTCACTCCCTGGCGGCAACAATGACCTGGTTCTGTAGTGAATATCCTAGAACTATATAGTATAGTTGGTGGCAATTTTAAAATGGGTGCGAATCATTCTTCTACAGAAATTAAATATTTATTTTTATTTTTATTTTTATTTTTATTTTTATTTTTATTTTTGAAAGCTTAAATAATAAAATTTATAAATAAACTAAAAAGAAACGCAGCGCTAGCAACGGGGGTTTCGGCTGGCTGGTTTAAATACGCCGGAGAAGATCGGAATCCTTCAGAAATTTATACAGTCAGATACTAGTTTGCTTTGTCTCTGCTGCTCTATCTATCTATAAATATCACTTTTACAGATGATATTTGAAGTGATGGTAGGAGTAATGCTCATATCTTTGGCAATAATATCAGCGAATGTATTGCCGTTAATGCATGAATGGCCTAGCACCCACATAATTCTGATTTTATTGGGAAGCGAAATCAGGATATTTCTTATGCTTTTGATAATGTGATTGGAATTGTTATAGTTTTTTAAGGCGTGAAAACAGGACATGCTGTCTGTGCATATGGTGAATTTTCCCCTGGATTTTGACGCACACTGCATGTCGTTGTTGTTGTTATAGCAGCATACAAGCTCCCCAAAGAGTTTTTGGGGAGTGTTGCTGGAGTGACAGTCCTTGGCCAAATATAAATCTGGGTCGTTCCGGTTACGTAGACCCGACTGTCGTGGGAACGCACTGCATGGCGTAGAGAACTCCGGTTGCTTCGGCGGTGAAAATTGAGCAAAATGGAAGTAAAAGTCCGTACGATATAGGTTCACCATTTTCTTTTACGACAGCGAAGGAAGTGTAATTCGCTTTGGAACCGTCAGTGTAGATTAGCTGCCAACTAGAATTTTTGAGACGCGATGCAATTTCCAAGAAACGAGCGCCGATGTCGTATTGGATTTTTTTCACGTAACTTAAATCGTTTACAAAGCATGCTTTTTTCAGCGCCCATGGCGGATGATGGTCACATCTCGGCGAAGTTATTCTTAGGGGGAGTCCATTGTCTTTAGCAAAGGTGGCGCATTTGCTAATTGACGAAACTATTTTGGGTGTTCTTTTACGGAAAAATGACGAATGGAAATTTTTTTTCATTAAAGTGTTCTTGGTGAGAGCAAGCTTAGGAAGTTTCCTTATGTTGTCTTCCATGTATTTTTTGATTATTTTTCGGTTTTTATCTTTTTTAGTGCATTA